TTTGGCTCTGACAGCTTCTGGAAGGCAACGTTTGAAGTCTTCGGGGTCCCTTATCGTCTCCTGACTATCCATCCTAGTTAGCATAGACTTAAGGAGGTTCCCACACTTTTCAGTTCTTCCGAGCTGCCAATGGGCCTCGCCCGCAGACACATTGGCTCTGACCCCTTCACGCTGCAACTGCAAACGCCAGAAGTCACTATTATACTCCCCCGCAGGATCAATATACAGTACTTTACAGGGCCCAGTCCACTGAAACCACGTATCGGCAAGCACTGCAAATTGCTCCTCCGGAGTCCGTCCTGTAGCCACAGCCTGCTGAAAAAGAGTGGCCTCATCAATGACATGTGTAAACAAATGCTGCTGTCCTGCTCTCCCTGTCCAGTAGGCTACATCCATCCCCACTACGTCCCCAAAATCCCCATCGAGATGAATACTAGCAGGTCTTGAGGGCTTTAAAGATGGCACTGTCTCTAAGCAGGTGGAACATGAGTAGTCCCGAGCTCCACGAATGAGCGCCGGCTCTGCTTTACGCTCCTGAAGAAACTTCACAAACACCTCTACTGCCGGATGCCCGAGATTGTCATGCAGTCTGGACAGCTCGATCTTTTGGTCCCTAGTTAGTTCTAAATACCCTGGCCCATGCCGGGGGACTGCCCTTGGTGCCCTTGGGGGAAACCCTTGAACTATATCTGGGGGAACATCACCCGGAACTACTTCTGCTTGTCCCTCCTGCATTTCAATCTCCTCTGGCATGTCTGACTGCTCCGGTGGACTCGGCGCTACGGGTGCACTTGCTGGAACTGCAGGTGTCATTGACACTTCGGGCTCGGCGCTCTGCAAACTGGATTCCTGAGGTTCTTTAATAAGGGGTCTACTGCCATAGGCGGTTAAAGCAATCTTTGCGGGAACACAACCTGAGCCCCTCTTATATTTGGGTATTCGGGACCAATCCTCAGGATCCTTGTCGGCAACAACATCCCCGCCAGCTCGCTGAACTACAACCGTATACCTTAGAAGGACCTCTTTGGGGCGTGTCTCGGCTAATGCTGGTTGGATGCGATTGACTCCTTGGCAGAAAACGACTTGCTTGTTGACAATCATACTGGGAATCAACGCCTGGACTTGGGTCACCACCTCGTCCCCTTCCTGAAGGTAAACACGACCCTCAGGGGGAACCCTAGCATTAACCGTCGGACTGAGGGGGGATTAGAGGTCGAGGTGGCTATTTCCCAAGTAAACGTCGGCGCTTCAAAACTTGCTTGGCCACTGTCAGGTTCTTCTACAGGAAGAGGCATTCCTACTTCTCTTTGGAGGCACAGTGCTACTTTATCTGCAAACCTTTTTCGTCGTGTATGGTGACTTGAAGTGTGATGGACGCTGGTATTGTGGTCGGTGATGTGCTGCTGTGCTTGTCTGGTGTTGGTGCCTGCTGTGATCCTGGTATCCAAGGCTTGCTGCAATGCTCTGGAGGTGGTGAACACAACGGTCTTCTTGTTGAGGTGGTTGTTCCCTGAGGGCACCGTCTTTCTGCCCAAATCCGCCGGATTGTGTACCAAACAGAGCATGCCTTGCTGGACCTCTGCCAGATGGCCTGACATAAGACTGAACATTTCGGGTTCCCCGGTAAGATGGAGATGGCGACCCCTCCCTATCTGGTAGTGAAACAGTTCCCGAATGAGGTCTTCCGGCCAAAATGGCGCCAGCTTCTTGCCCTGTCTTTGTTTCCACGGACGTGTCAGGCTAAACCAAATGTGCTCCGGCTCACACATGGACACTGTTCTCCACAACTTTCTAAAGTCATTGATCATGTCACGCTCCTGCTGCAAGGTGACCACTCTTTGACCATGTTCCCGGAGAACTTGTCCTATCACGCCGGCACCGATCTGCGTAATTTCAAGAACATCCAAGGATGGCGTTCGATATTTATTGGCAACTTCATGGGGACTACGCACTTCATGATTCAGCTGTTGCTCAATGTTAAGGATACTTTGATCAATCTTAGTACATAATGATGCTACGAATGCCGCATCCTGGGATTCCTCAAAATCACTCTTTACCTAGAGTGGAAGTGTGCAACACTTTGTCAGCCTGCGGTGCAATGTCAGCAATCATGTGCGCCACTGCTCGCGGCGCCAAAAGCACTGCTGCCAAGTCCACCATAGATAACCCCCTCTCATCAAAACGCCACGGTATTTCCGCCCCTCCTCCAAGACACAATATACCCTTTCTTACATAGATTACAGCATCTAGATCCCTTAGCAATCGATTCGAAATCAACAGAGGTGTGTTTCCTGGAACAATCTCGGCTCTGACCCAATTGGCGCCACTTGCTGGAAGGAGTAAGGCATGTTTTGCTGATAGCGTGCGGCTGTTCCCAAAACGAAAGGTGATATCGGACTTGACCTTCCGCACCTCTCTCCGGCAATCAGCTGGAAGCCCTTGGATCATATCGCGCACCCTTTCGGAACCCACTACGGTACGACTGGCCCCTGTGTCTAGAACCCCTTCGGCCCCAGTAGTGACCACTAGAATGCTCTCCAACTGCGCTCCAGGCTTCCGGCTACAGCTATCCTTGCCTATGTCTGGCCTTTTGCCAGCCTCCATCTCAGCCAGCGAACGCCGTGCGGCTTCTTTCACCCATTTAGGCGTCCTGTTACTCATTAACATCTTGCGTGCAAAAGTGGCTTCGAAAGCTGCCCTAGGCTTCACCTCTCGTGATGCAGTCAGACAGGCATGTTCTACACCACAAATTCTTCCCCCTGACTCTTGGCATGTCATGTCCGCCTGTCTGTCCTCTTCTTTGGCACTGTCTTCATGGTAGTAGACGGCATCCATGGGCATGTCGGAGGCAGGTAGGGATTCTCGATCTCCGCTTGCGTGTAGTGGGAAATCTCGGTCTTGTCCTCTCTCTTTGGACATTCCCTTTTCCAATGTCCACGCGCTCCACAGAACCTGCAGGAGCTTGAAGCGATGCGGTCCGCCAGCGATTTGCGGCAGAAGCCCTCTCCGGAATGGGCCTTGCCTTTCTTCTGCACCGCCCCCTTTGCTCCCTTCCTTTTATCCTGAAAAAGCCCCTTGCCTTGGCTTTTTCCCGCAAGCGTTGTCTGGCTTCAAGATATGAAGTGAACACCGGGGCCAACGCTGACTCTACGATGCCGTCTTCGCGTCTTCGTCGCCCTGGTCCAAAAACATCATGAGGATGTCCTCGTCATGGTCGTCCTCTTCTGCCATGTAGAGCTCGTCGTTGGTCTCCTCCTCCATGGCGGCATTCACGTCATAAACCTCGTTGCGCTCAGGACCTTTGCTGCTGGTTCCTGGGTTCTGAAGGTCCGAGAAAAACTTGGAGCCCAGCAATCTGATCGACTTGATCGTGTCCTGGTACTTCAGGTCTCCTTTGGCTTCGACCACCACCCGCTTCTTGTCATCCGCGCCCAACTGGGAGTGCCTCAGAAGGATGTACGCCCGGATCTCCTCTATGGTCACCTGCCTTGCCAGGAGTTCTTCGAAAGCCGCGTCGTGACGGGAAATGTAGGAGTCATTACTTTCGTCGGCCTTCTGGGTGACCACAAACATGGCCTGCTCGAAGTAGTGGTATTTCTCCTCTACTGCTGTCTTACCCCAGGAGCCGCCCAAAGATTCCACCAAAAGCTTCACCCCATTAGCTGATCTCAGTTTATCCGGCGCAATGCGACTGATCTTATGGAAAGCCGCCCCTTCGACCATCAACGCCGCCCTTGGTGCCAGGTGCTGGACTTGATCTGCTGGCCACAGCTCTTTGAGGAATCGATTTCTCTGACTGTACTCATCTACATTTGTCACTCCAGGCGTAAATTTTGGCACTTGCTGCCAAGGCAGGTGTCCCAAGCTCCCGGTCGTCTGACCTTCTGATTCAGTCCCCATGGCTCGCACACTACCCAGGTGGTCGTCAAACCCTTCTTCAGGATCCTTTCCCCAGAGTCCTGAATCACCCCGTTTCCACTAAGTATATATAACCTATATATATACACACTAGTGACGGACCGGGCTCCGCTACCAATGTGAATATGCTCCCTAGGACCCAGCCTAGGAGCCCGATCCGTTTACCCTAAGGATCCCAAAGATACCTAAGACCCTGTCTTAAAGAATAGGCCCTGCCTTCCGTAACCGTAAAGGAACCCTGGCAACCCCGTGCACTCCTTTAGTCTTGGTCAAGCTACCTCATCCCTCCCGCCTCTGAGCTGTCAAGGGCAATCGACGGGAGACAAGTGAATCTTGCCTGATCCAAGCCTAGAGGATTCACAGATGATGATGATGATGATAATGATGACAATGATGATGGGTATCGTGATGATGAAGACGATGATGCTGATGATGTTGCCATCAGGACTGCATAGCTTCGCACCGCTGTTTACTGTTGTTGTCATAGTACTCTTGTTCCTTGCAGAGTTTGTGATCTAGTTGGGACTGTTCCACGCTCTCGTGCAAACCACTAACCTGCCCGTCAGTGGAGTGTGTGCCAGAGACAGCCTGCACCCCAAACTTCAAGCGCTCAGCCTTCACCCTGAAAAAACCATGCCTCAAACCTGTAAGAGGCCGACACGTCCATTATGTTGGGTTGTGAGTGGAGGATGGCCGGCGCTTTGTGACCGCCTCACAGGATCGGACGCTCCACGTCACCAATTGGATAGTTTAGGTTCCAGAGTTCAGGGTTGGGGCATGGCGAAGTTTGGGGAGGAAGACGGGCGGTGTCAATTAATAGGAATGAGAATGAGCCTTGGCGACGAGCCTTCAAGTGACTCTGCCCAACGCACATGACAGCAATCTTCTGCAGCGATTCAGGCTCCGCGTTTGGGAGGTCAGCCAGGGCACGGCTCCGTTGGCTTCCACAAAGAGGACATCCCGGTATTCTCGTGCATGCTGTGGGGATTCACAGAATATTTTGCGTTGCTTTGATCACCGAGGTGCTGTAATTCTAATTCCTAGAGTATGGCCTGAGCATTGCTTATATGAGGTGGTGCAAGATGTGCTCTGTCCACGGGATGTCGCAGGTCTGTAACATTTTGGATTTCGCATTTTTGGGGCTCCTCGTAGCTTCAGAATACTGATGTCCTGATGTCCCAATCATAGTCCTGGCCGAATTCCTGGGACATGCGGTGGTGTCTCAGGATTATGGGTCCTTCATTTGGGGGTGCCAGCCCTGTGCCTTAGACCCTCAACCCGAGAAGGATCCTCAAGGGGCACAGCGATGTGGTGTCCTGTGCCGTTCTGGAAAAGACCCACGTCTGGCATGGAAACGCAGGTTTTGTTTGGACGTCTCTAGCGTTTAGGTAGTGACCAGTGGCACTTAATCCTGCTAAGTGTTGAGCTGCACATTGCAAACTAGCTCCCTCTGCTGAGATCGTTACATCGCCCAGAGCTTCACAGTGCTCAGAATTGAAAAGCCAGTGAAGATGTGCAGCTGCATGGGTTTTTCATCTTCGCCTTGTATCGGTTCGTGTTAATTCCCTCTTCCCTACACTCTGGTCTGCCAATCCCATGACTCAGGAATGAGGGCAAGTTCGCGCTTTCCTGCTCTTGGGATCGGACTGTGAAGCTTTGGGACCTGGACCCTGATGACGATGACCCTCTCATTCGCACCTTCATAGGCCACAAGCACCAGGTGGGTTGAGAGAAAACCGGCTTTCTGTACGGTTTTCAGAGGGCTATCAAAAAGGAATGGTAGCAGCAGGGCGCTGCAGCTGCTGCCGGGGCTGGTGTTACTTGTGTTGGTATTCGTTCTGTTTTTGGTGCTGGTTGTGCTAGGTCTGGTGGGTCGCCCTAATAAAGAGTTATAGCAGCTTTAATTAAGAATGCCAACCGTCATTAGAAAGGTTGTGCAATGTATAGCATGCATGCGCCATGTCAGCTCTGATGGCGACGTGGATTGCTATACAGCATCAGCAGGAGAGGTGTTTGTGATAGGCGCAGTGTTACTGAGGACCGTTTCACAGTCAGCAGTACGGTAGCCCAAGAAGTATTGCTGGAGCATTTGCCGTCAGCAAGAGCACTTTGCTGGTGCTTATCCTTTGGTTAAGTGGTCGGCACGCTCTAACAGTTTTCTCCTTGGACTTTCCAAGCTCGTCCTGAAAAGTGGCCTGCGTTGCAACTGTCCAGGTGAATGGTGTCGCGTGGTCCCCTGACCACCGCATCATCATCACGGCCTCTTGCGACAGGCATCTGAAACTCTGGAATAATCTGGGGGAGTGCAAGTATACGTTTCATTGTGATGAAGGTCACAATGACTGGACCTCAGCCGTGGCCTTCGGAGACTGCTTTGCCCTGTCTGCGGGTTGGGACGGGGTGGTGAAGTTGTGGAACAGCAAGGCCGGACAGCAGCATGTAGGATGCCACTAGAGTCCATTAAAAAGACAGATGGCAACCTAGGGTCCATGAGGGGCATATGGGTCTAGGGTCTAAAGCCCAAGTATGGAGCATCATATGGAAAAAAACATGGAAAATGAGATGTAAACTGGTTCTGTATAGAGGTTGATCGCCCCTCGGTTTGGCTCCTTCCCAGCATTGGTAGTCTTCCAAAAATGGGGTTCCCAATACAGACCCCAAAATATTATAGTCTGCATCACAAGGCGCCCCCAAAATTTTAAAAAGTTATCCTGATGTTGGGAAACCCCCCTGTCAGACGATGAAGATGGAGTGGGAGATGAAGTGCCACACAGCCCCTGTCCACGCACTGGCCCTGTCTCCGGAGGACGCAGTCAAGGGCATTTGGAGGTTAGGATAGTGCAGAATCAAACAGAAAAGAAAATGGACAATGAAATGGAAACCATTATATGTAGGGGATATGTATATACACATGTATATGTAAGAGGACATAGGTGATACATGTAGAAATTATGTTCTGACTGCCTCGGATTGTAGGAGCCTGAAGCATTAAAGTGGCATGAGTCTCACATATGCCACCCAGGATACATCTAAAAACCCGTGGGACCCTGGAACCCCACTTAACCCAAACCCTGAAGCCCCAAGTCCTCGAATCAAAGGTTGAAATCGTGTTTTCCTGACTATGTGCCTTCCACTCAAAGCCAGTTGATGGCCTAAACGAGGGTGCCACAGTACCAAATCCCGACTAACACAGTAAACCCCTTCAACTTTGCTTGAAATTCTGTGCAGCGTGTTCAAGAACCTCTTTGCCTGATGAATCCCTACACGTAAAACGCTCAAGCCCTAAACCCCTACACCAGCACACATGACCCCTTTAGGAATCCGCTTTAGAGTGGCCCTGGACACTAAATCCATACAAATCCTTACAAAAGATCGTAAAGAAGAATCCCGGCAACAAGAGTAATGATACTAACACTGTTGCAATGTCAATAAGAATAACTTGTTCCTAAGAAAACTGGAATAATACTAGCAGCCATAACAATTATCATATTAACAATATTATAGTCATAATACTAATAGCAATAGTAATACAAATATTCATTGTAATCAGAATAGCAATATTGCTACTAATACTTGTAGCAGTAGTAATGCTATTCATAGCAATAATACTAATCATGTTCATAGATTTTCATACTTATACTAGCAACCATACCAGAACTTTTAACATCATCACAAAATATGTAGTAATAATATCAATAGCAATTCTAATGCTAATGTCGTAGAAAGAAGTACTATACTATACTACACTATACTACACTATACTAAACTATACTATACTAAACTATACTATACTAAACTATACTATACTACACTCTACTATACTATACTAATACGACTACAATACTGGTAAATAGGATGTCTTTTTCGCCTCTGGCGGCGCGGACCGCACGGTGCTGGTTACCAGCCCCAAGGCTCTCGGGGGGGTGGGGGGAGTGGGAAAGGAAGATGAGATGTATAAGCAAAATAAGGTGATATAGGGATTACGTAGGGTTATTTAGGGATTTTATAGGGTTCTAAGGGGATTATACGGGGATATTGCCACCAATAGAGGGAACTTGAATGGATGAGCAAAGGGAAAATGACATCGAAGTCTGGATTTAGGAGATATACATGGTTTGTGGTTTTGGACTTACTGGTTACAACTGAAGGACTGTAGGAGAGAATGGGCCTGAAGATAGTAGCTTCCAGTTTCTTTTCCATTATCCCATTATATCCCCTATAATCCATAAACCCTACAAAGCCAGTTTCCATTTTATTTTCCATTGTCCCTGATAGAGGCTGGCGCAAGGATCCATTCCTTCATTCCCTGCAGCCTGTAAGTCATGCATTATAGGGATAATGGACAAGAACATGGAAACTACTATAGCATAATGGGGTATAATATAATATTGAATTGGGATAATGGAAAAGAAAATGGAAACTACTATATTATAAAGGTATATATTGGGGTTATAGTTCCCCTTAAGTAGATAGAATATGGGCTATATGGGGAATGAGTCTCGTGCTGGGGTCTGGGTAGGTAATTTCTCAGTGTTGTTTTATGTTGTCATAGACGCTAATTCCGAAACTCATCCAGATCTTGAGGATAAGAACGCAATAGATGGAGCACTGTGAGCCCGTCGTGAATTATACCCGTGTTCCTGTCGAGAGTTTCTCTGCCTGCAAAGGATCGGAAAGTCATTCACGGCTTCGATGTGAGCGGCATCATCCGATCATTGGACCTTGGGGGCCAAGCGGGCAGGTTTTCTACAATTCATGAGTCGATTTTGGGGGTCTTTTGAGAGTCTCCCATCGCGCTCTGGACACCTCGGCCGCATAGAATCGTTGGCACTTGCAAGCTCATAGATGAAATCTGCACAGCAACCCTGTCTGCATGTACAAATAGTTTCCGAACCCAGTAGAAGACACCCTAAACCCTAAACCCTCAGCCCTAAACCCTAAACCCTAAACCCTAAGAGCCCAGGGCAATCTGCAGGACTTCCATCCGCACCTCCAATGGCTGGCAGCAATGATCGAGTCACCTGGGGCTGCTGTCTGGGCCACTCCACCCATTATCTCAAAATGATTGCTTCGCACTGTTTTCATATAGTTCCAGTGTCCTTGGCTTGTTTGAGCGAAGGGGCCTTCAAAGGTTCGTAGGTTGGGTGATCTCGCTGGCCCCTGGACCCTCCAAGACCTGCTGAGGTCTTCGATGTGGAAAACCGGGCCAGCGTCGCCACACTGACTGTTCAGGACAGCCCTGCTCATGGCCTTTCTGTGGCCTGGGAACCTCAGGGCCAGCGCGTTTTTGGCGGCTTCTCAGATGGTGCCATTCATGTAGCCTGGCTGCTGTCAGGGCGGCAGGCTTGACTACCGTGACCTTGTTCAGTCAGTCTTTGCTCAGGTCTGGCGGATGAAGGCTTGAATCGGCGACAGCGCAACCCTAAACCCTGAAGCCTTAACCCTTAAACTTAACCCCTCAAGGGGTTGTACAGTTGTACAGATGTACAGCTGTTGTGCTCAGGGCATGCTAGCAAAGTTGTGCAGTCCTCGCTGAATGATGGCTCATTTGGGTATGTGCCAAGACTATGGTCTTTGTATGCCTCCTAAAAGCATAAGACTAACAAACCCAAATAGAAAGCCCTTGAAATCGGTGCATCCCCTTCTGGCTGCAACTTGCACGCCGTGCACTGGCAAAAGGCAAGGCGCTGCGCCGGAGCGCTGGAAAAAGAAACATTGCTTCGTGTTGCAAACTCCAGCGGTTTTCACCCCGTTCGGCTGCTACACAAATCAGCAAAGGTGCAATTGTTTGCCATGATGTCAATGCTTGAACAGCAGTATTGTACAGCGCGTAAGCAAGCTGTGCACTGGGCCTGGGAAGATCTGGCAATTCTTCACGTTTTAGCCGCCTTTGCTGCAGTGAGGGGACTGCGCAAGAGTCTTTGGGCCGTTTTGCAGCGGAACATATGGGTCAACACCCGGCATTGAATGGTAGCTTCTCAGGGCTCGAGTCCTGATCCAGGTATCAAATCACAAGCCAATGCGCATTGCAGAGCCATGTCAATCCCCACGCCTAAACCTCTTAGACCCTTCAACCCTCGGAACCCAGCGCAAGGTTTCCAAGCAACATGCTTGCACAGGGATTTTTACAAATCCCATCGCTGCTCTCATGGATGGAGCGCCACTGGTCGAGTTTGGCGATGGCCTGGGGCCAGGGTTGCCCCTCTTCGTGCTTTGGCCCATTCTCAGGGGTAGGTTTGAACATCGTTCTGGATTCTGTTGTCTAGGGTTCAGTATCGTGCAGTGGGAGCATCTCTCATTATGGAAAAGCTAGAGGGTACGCTTACGCGGTCACACCCAAACCCCATCTCATACGTTCAAATTCATGAAGTTGCTTGGTAGAAGACCTAAAGACGGCCATGAAGAGAAGAGCCCAGGTGCAGTGTGCTACTCGGCTTGTTTGGTGAGTCGCCGGCTCCTACTCCGGGTGGGCCCCGGGATATGGAGCTCGGAGCGGGCCCCGGGATATGGAGTGCATGTTAGGGATGACAATACTACTTGGTGTGATCTAGGGATTATATGGGATAATGGAAAAGAAAATGGAAACCACCAATTCAGGATTTAGGGTTCAGGAGGTTCTGGGACCATTGTTTTCTTGGATGGAGGAAGTTTTGCATCAGTTGGGTGCCTAAGCCATTGTGAGCCAAAAAGAAGAAAGTGCCTTTCCCTTTTTGCAGGGTTTCATCCTACAAGGTAGGCTCGGATTCAGGAGCTCAAATGGTCAAAACAAAGGGAACGATGTCAGATGCGAAGTACCCACCCCCGGAATTTTCTTGGAACTCCTCGCACAAGGGCAGTATGACTGCTCGGCCTTTCCGTTTCAGGGCATCTCAGGGAGTAAGGATGCCGAGGTGGAAGGATCTTTGATGGGCCTGAGATTTTTGTTGCATGATATGATTAATTGCATCCCTGCAGCTATAGTCTAAACTCCCTACAGGGGTTATATAGGGGATTATATGGGGCCAGTTATAGGGCTTCTGAAGGGGGATACTAGGAGTTTAGACTTCAGCTCATGTGATCCCTTTCAGCTTCAGAGCCTTCACAAAGACCAGGCTTGGGCTGGGGCGGCCCCTGCAAAAGAGGACCCAGAGGAGCCCCGTTGTTATGGTTGCACAGTAAATAACAGGGTTTACACAATATGTTATGGGGGTATATAGTAAATAACAGGGCTCACATACTACGTATCGTATGGGAGTATAGACTAAGTACCAGGGCTTACATATTATATTATAAGGTATAGTAAATAGCAAGGTTTCCATTTTAATGCAGTATCTTAATTCTAGTTCCTGTTAAGAGGAGCCTGAAAAGGAGACAGAGATCTGCCAACTGGCGATGTTTGAGTCCCGGACCATGTTTGGTTGTTTTCTGCAGGGGTGCATCAGGATCTGCAACTGTGGTCGCAAGGCCTTGGCGAGGTGTGTGGGATCATCTTGGAAGTCTATATGGGGTGTTGTCAGAATTATGGTCCCCTTTTGGATCCCTAGTAGAATACGGCACCTAATATTTAGGGTACCCAAAAAGGGACCATAATTTTGACAACCACCCATATGTTTCATAGAGGGCTTGACAAGATTACCACAGCCTGTGGTTTCTGGAGCAGGGCACTGGGCAAACTCCAAACATACTCCCAACCAGGCAGCTGCACTCATCTCAGCAGCTCCTCTTTCCTAAACTTCCTCTAGGACAGGGCATCTACTTAACGTGGCCTCCAGACATTTGTGTGTTCTATGCATGATCCTTACAACAACTTGATCTTCAGCCCGTAGAGAGACTCCTCGTGTTTTGGAACAGAGTGGCTACGTGTGGACAACCACCTAAAAAGGGTCCAGAATCTAAGGATGGCACCCACTGCTGGCGGGGGCCCCTCTGCCGGAGGCATCTTGCTGGGCCTTTAGGCGAAAGCCACGCGGCAGAGAGCAGCAGAGTTTTCTCGAACCTTCGTCGAGTGTCCTTGTCTAGGATCTTCAGGGGGCGGTATGGAGGAGGAGCTGAACAGCTTTGATACAGGCCTGGTGACTCTCACCACCACCACCACCACCACCACCACCACCACCACCACCACCACCACCACCACCACCACCATCAGCATCATCATCATCATCATCATCATCATCATGGGTCGGCATGCGGGCACCGTCGCGATCAGCAAAAGTGACTGGACGACAAGAATGCTCGTAACCAGGTGTGTGACTGGCTTTTCCAGCGAGATCTGTTGTTTGTTTTTTCTACCTGCTTCTGTAAAGTTGAGGCCGTTCGCAACTTGCTTAGGATGTTCAATATCACTCTGCAATGGAGCAAAGCCTTGGATTATCATCTCGTCTTTATGAGGTGCGCATTGTGTACAAATTTCTACAACCAAAAGATCTCGACAGTGCCAGACATCTGTATTAGCTCCTAACAGTCCTTAGAAGCATTTTGGAGGTTCTGAATTGGTCGCCGACAAGCAATCAATCCTCAGCAGGAGCACACACCATATGCCATCTCTAGATTTGTTTTTTTGGTGGCAAGCCTATGACCTCATACCCTAAACCCGAGTTATCATGTTACAAAATCAATAGTGTGTGTCCTTTTCATAGTCATGAGGTTGGCAGGACCCTGCCAACCTGCGCTTGCTCCGGTCCGCGCTGTCCTCTCCGCAGCCAGGAGGCTTACAGGGCTTTCTGAGCATTCAGGGTCTTTCTCGGTAATTTAGCGGCCTTGGCACGATTCTGCGCGATCTTCGCATCATGTGCAACACGTGTGGGGACATGTGAGGGAGAAGGCCTTCCGTTGTTGGTGACCTTCCCACTGCGCTTTCGCCTTTCAGAACTTCTTGTGGTTTGACGGCGTTCGGCTGTGGCACCTCATCAACCTTGCCAGTAGTTCAGGAGTTTCTGCTCCAGCCGCACATGAGTCGAAAACGAGTAATTAATAGGCTACTCAGGCGCTGCGTGAAAAATCACGAAGCTGACTCACACTGTTTGATATCAGCCTTTTTCGTTTAACCCATACCACCTGCACACTTCACACTCACATACACCAAGACCAACATGCGGAACTGAATTATTGCAGGACCACAGAACTTGCCCGGACTGTTTGAGTCTGTGATTTGGGTCCTGCCCATAAACCTAGGCTGCCCCATGCCCTTTGGCCCTTTCACGTGTTGAAGCTCCTGAATGTTGACCTGGAACCCAAGGTGCCAACCTGAAGTCCTGGTCAAACGTTGAGCACAGTCAGCCCTCAGCCCGAGCCCAAAAAGAGCTCCCTGACCAAAACTAGCAACTAGCATCAATAGCTTCGTGATATGATGATGCTGACGACGAGCTTTATGATGATGATGATGATGATGATGATGATGATGATGACGGCGAGAATCACGACGATGATGACGATGGCGACGACGACGATGATTATGATGATCATGATGATTATGATGTGGTGTGATGTCATGTGATGGAGATGTCCATCATTTTGTATTATTGTCATGATCATCATTCTTAGCATCGCTACTCATTGCTCAAACGTTGTCATGCTCACCAGCACTACGAGCGTCATATCCTGGCTACGGCTGTTTCAATTCTCACCCGTGCGTTGTCTAGTTGTCGCTTCTGACAACATGTTTGTTCTTCCGATTTTTTTTGTTGCCCCCGGGCTTCAACACAGCTGACGCTTTGCACAAGGTTACTTCGTAGCTATGAATGTCAGCCCTGCAACCGCCGTGATCACACACAGTTCCATTTGACAGCATTAAAGTTTGAGACCCAAACCTGATGTGCACCCCTGAGTTGGACGTGTCGAAAGAGCTTATACGCTGTGTCTCTACACCCTCAACCCTGCCGTTTGGAGAATATTCTTCTCTTTTTCACCGCAGGGCCTAGCAGCTTTCTGGGACCTCGCGCTGAGGCAGCGTGGAGACTTGTTGAGGCCGCAGGGGGGCTTTCGTGAACTTCTTTCTGAGCACCATCTTAACATGCGCCCAAAATCAGAAGTTTCCTATCAAGTTGGTTGTCAGGCAGTTTGCTTTCGAGATCCAAGGGGCCAAGGGTTCTAGCAGATGGGTCCTTGGACTGACACCTGCAAGGAAAGCGGCTGCTGGATTTGGCTAAATCACCAGCAACGCACTTGAACAAGATGAGGGCTTTCAGTTGTGGATGCTGTAGGATGCGGCCTCTGCCGACCCGGAGCTGGAGTTGACCGTGCGCTTCGTGTACAAGGACTTCTGAAACCCTAGTGGTCCCCATTTGGTGCTTTTTCCTTCCCTTGAGAAGGGCAGGATTCTCCCCAGGCTACAGGAAGCTTGCAAGGCTAGAGAGCTTTGATCTTCCAATCAAGGCTCGAGGCAAGTTGTGGCTTGTTCTCACTCACTATTTGTCGCCGTATGAGGTCTTGGAATTACGGCCATCTTGACTGATTCTTATGGCTTGACCCATGTTTTGGATTATTGTGTCACACCAACTTTGACTAGTACTGTGGGTTTTCGAAGTCACCGTGGTCAACTTGGAAGCCAGAACAGGCTCTCCGCTGTTTCGTCCGTGCAGTTCTAGTGGGTTTACTTATTTCATGACATGTATCTTTGATGCCTCATCCTGTGCCTACACTGCATTGAGCCCCAAATCCTCAACCCAAGTCCGTGAACCCGCAACCCTTCACCTTGCCAGGAAGGCCCCGTGGCAGCTGTGCGTGCCGCCCGTTTCCGCACCGTGCCGTTAGCGGCCGCGCTGGGCGGTGTCTTCCGCGCTGTTCGCGGCTTGCAGGCCTGCTGGCTTTTTGGGGTGTTGGGTTTTGTATCATGTAGCAGACCCAATGTAATACGCAGCTCAGTGTCTGGAATGTAGCATGCGCCCATGCAGAGCTTTTTTTGCCGCATTTCTGGATTTGAGGAACACCACTCTGAGCCACCTCCTGTCCGGTGATCATGATGTAGAGCAGGGATTCTTGTGCTCGAGGGGTAAACGAGGGTCCTTGGATTTTGAGAAACGGGTCTAAGCTTTAACGCACAGAGTATGGAAGTGGAGGTTCTGTTTGGATTCGCAATTTAGGGTTCAGAGTCTGGAGCAAAAGTTCAACGAGGATGGTAGCGAACTACCGAGGGCTTCGGGGAAGTTTCATGGTTCTCAGAAATGATGCTGGTACCCAGAGAGGAGAAAGATCCTGTTTGTCCGGGATAGCTGCAGCAAAGAGACAGGCATGAGGTGACTCGGCTTAACCATCCTGAAGACACTGCTCCGCTGGGAGTCGTCTGCAACTTGTTGCTCTTCAGTGGCTGTAAGTTCCTAGAAGGGCGAGCATCGAGCTGATTGCTGGAACTCCAAGTTGGCTTGCAAGTTGTCACCCGGCTGCCTCGCACAGGCTGAAGCGCAGGCGCAGCAGCGCTACCTGTCAGCGGTTAGCACAGCTGTGCTTATGGGATTAAAGTTTCTGGTGCCCAAGCCCCAAACCTGCTTGAAGCTTTTTGGGCCTGAAACTTTGCGCCTCAGCCTTGTGCCCCCCGTAGCCGCACCGAAAAGCAGGCTCTGAGACCTAAGGTTTAGCTCAAGGCGAGCAGTCTGCCCTTCAAGAGAAGCAGGACTGACATGGGGAAGAGTCGTAGGCTCTCCATGCAGGGGTTCTTTTTAATCAGCGCTGCTGTTCGGGATGTTGGGGATCTTGGAGCCATATACGTCTTCTTTCGGGCTTGTAGGAATTAGCTTAAGCCGCTCCGAAATAGCGGTCATGCAGGCGTTATGACTTAGGGAGGGAAGTCAGGGAAGAAGTTTTGGTAGACTCAGCGGGTCGGATCCTGCCTTCAAGTTGCAGGGTGAGGTGGCATGGTTTGGGTATTGGGTTCCAGGGGCTTGGCACGTGGGGCCTGGATGGTATGGTATTTTTTGTAATTCATCCTCTTGTGGTCTGCACTTTGCAAGCTGACAGGCTACGGTCCTTTGGTTGATGGATCATTTGTGTTCTCCATGGACTTGGAGATGTTACAGCATCAACAACCCAGCAAAGTTCAGCCCATCAAACGCCCCAATCACTAATCCTGGAACCCAAGCCCTACACCTACACCCCAAACACTTTAGCGTTTAGGGTTAGGGGCCTCGACCCCCAGCCTTACATCAGGAGACCCTGAAGCGCCGGCTCGAGGCTTTGCCAGCAGAGGCCGAGGCGCAGGCAAGCCTATGGGCTCGAGAGATTTCCCAGACAATTTAACTTACTTGGGGTTAGTAGGGAGTAAGGGAATATGTAGGGGTTATATAGGGGTGATATTCCCTTATTCCCTACCAACCGAGAGTAAGTTAAACAACCTAGCCTACAGTTCTTTAAGATGGTGACTGGAATGCGCCTTGCTATTGAAGGTCGCAGAAAACTGAGCCGTTGAGCTTCGTCAAAGCACAGGATTTCATGATGTATCATGCAGCCGGACTCTGGGCTTTGGCTCCTTTGCTTGCACACCCTTTTTGGCATGCAATGGTGTTGTCCCTTCCGTTTCCGAGGATGCTTATCAATCATGTCTGTGTTCAGCTACAAAGTCTGTTGGTTACTAAATCCCAAAGTCTCCAGAAGAGATCAGCACAAGGACTACGGGGTGTGAGGCATCCAAATTTCAGTTTTGTTGGCAGGAGCGACAACTCCTGGAAGGACTTTGCAGCGTGCTGATCCTGGTCGGATAGCTCCCAAAAGCTAGACCACTCCGGAATTTTTGGAAAGCATGGAGGGTCCTTTTGTATAGGAGAAGTCAATCTTATTCAGTGATGGCCGCAGCGGCTCTCGAATTCTGATCGGAGACGCCGAAGATGCCGAAGACGCCGAAGCTCAGAAGG